TGGAGATGCAGCTGCTTCTAGTATTGGAAGTGCTGCTGCTGCAGCTGCTGCAGCTGCAGCTGCTGCTACTGCTGCTGCTGCTGCTGCTGCTTCGAGAACTGTCCCGGTGTAGCTACAGTCTGTGCAGCGCGTTGTTTAAGAATCCTTCCGCTGCATTTCTCTGTTTTGTTGCTAGGATTTAGGGTTTAGGGTTTAGGGTTTTAAATATGCGGGGAGGGATATATAGGCATAGGTGGACAGAGCAGCAGCAGCAGCAGCAGGTGCAACTGCTGCTGCAGCAACACTGTTGCAGTGTATGTACACCCGAATGCTGCTGCTGCCATTTGAGGGGTCTTTCTTTGTTTTATTTTGCTGCAGCCGCCGGCTAAGGGATGAAGAAGAGTGAACTTGCTGCTGCTGCATTTGCTGCAGCAGCAGCAGCAGCAGCAGCAGCAGCACCTCATAGAAGCGATGCTGGTGCTGCTGGTGTAGCGCTCTCCCACATGCAGCAGCAGCAGCAGCTGCAGCAGCAGCAGCTGCAGCAGCAGCTGTAGTTGCTCCTGCAGCAACTGTTCTGCAAGCTGCAGCAAGAAAAGGGTTTAGGGTTTAGGGTTTTGAGGTGCTTCCCTATTTTCTTTTTTTTTGTTCTGCTGCTGAAAAGCAGAATGAGACACCCTAAACCCTAAACCCTAAACCTTAAACCTTGAACAGATCGGGAGCTAAAGACAGCAGCAAATTCACTTTTATCTTTAATTCTTTTTGTTCTTCTCCCCTCAACTATCTTATATCGCAGTCTCAAGCCACAAAAAAAGGCTTAGGGTTTAGGGTTTAGGGTTTAGGGTTTGCAAGGCCTAATAACGCCCGTTGCTCTCCCTAGTGTGCCGCAGCCAAGCATCTGCTGCTGCCTGCAGCACCTGCTGCCCTCTGCTGCTGCTGCAGCAGCAACGGCTGCTGCTGCTGCTGCAGCAGTTGCAGCTACAACTTTTGCTCCCGCTGCTGCTGCTGCGGCTGCGATTGCTACTCGTTTTGCAGATTTCGCTGCTGCCGCTGTCGCTGCTGCCGTTGCAACAGCAGCAGCAGCAACAGCAACACTTACTGCTGCTGCTGCTGCTGCTGCTGCAGAGTATACGTTTTGCTGCATCATTCATCAGCAGCAGCAGCAAAGAAGGACAAGAAGACCTCAAAGCCTCATAATGACAATCACAGAAATGTTCATAGCCGCTGGTGTAGGCGTGCTGCTGCTGCTGCAGCAGCAAACAGCCGCAGCAGCTGCTGCTGCGCTGCAGCAAAGCAGCAAAAGAGGCCCCCTCGCTGTCCCCCACGCCTCTCCAGTCTGGCAGGCACACTACGAATGCCAGGGGAACCTTGCTGCTGCTGCTGCTGCTGCTGCTGTTGCTGCTGCTGCTGCTGTTGCCGTTTTCGACAGCAGCAATTATAAATTCCTCTAGCCTCCTGATGAGGGTTTCCTCGAAGGGAGGATTACAAAAGACGAAGGACTGGAGCCTGGCTC